GAAAATTCCAATTTAGAACTTAAAATTAATGAGATGTTAATCTATTGCAGGAAGAATTAAATGTCCATTTTTAGAAAAATTAGACTAAATCTCAACTCTGTCACCACACTACAACATATCACTATTATGTCTATGAGCTTTCTGAGCACACAGGCATTTAACAGACACACAGTTTATTAAATATAAACTTCACAGGTAGTTATAACTAATAAACTTCACCCTCTGATAAAATGCATTTAAAATTCAGACTAGAAGTTAGTTCTACAAGTTCCATTCATTTAAAAGACAGTAAGTACTGAGAAAAAAGGTTGACTGAAGTGCAAGAGTGGAGAGAAAGTAATGGATTATGAGAGGCAGAAAGGCCTGGTATATTATAAAAGAATACTACAAAAAAATTAAAATAAAAGAATACTGATGATGTTAAGTGGAAAATTGGTAAATTTCAGTTAAGTAGCCTTTTCCTGAAAATAAAATTTGTGTTCAAAGCCAGAAGTGGTGTAATACATCTGTAATCACAACGGAGGATTCCTGCCCAGCAGAGGCAGGAGTACTTAAAGTTCAAGGTCAGTCTGGGCAATTTAGTGACTCTGTCTCAATATAAAAAATGGAAAGGGCAGGCTGGGTGTGGTGTTGTACCTGCAATCCCAGCACTGGGGAGGCAGAAGCAGAAGGATCACTATTGAGTTCCAGGCCAGCCTGGGCTACATAATGAGTTCAAGGCCAGCCTGAACTACAAAGGGACACCCTGTCTCAAAAAAAAGGAAAGGGCTGGGGTTGTGGAGCACCTCCTGAGTTCAATTCCCAATACAGACACAAAAGACATATGATCATAGAAAATACAGGAAACTGCACTTAGCAGGCTGAAGCAGCAGGAGATCCTTGAGTTGGAGGCCAGCCTGGGCTAGGTAGCAACAAACTATCTCAAAACAAACAAACTGGGCTGGGGATTTAGCTCAGCAGCACTACACCTGCCTGCCTCACAAGCCTCAAGGTCCTGAATTTGATCCCCTGTACCAAAGAACAAAAAAACAAAAAACCCACAAACAAATCAACAAACACCAGGAAACCTTGTAAGAGAATTATCATGCCATTTTCTTTAATCTATGTATTTCTCATTATTATTCTCCACCACCACCTTTATTTGGCAGTGCTGGGGATCAATCCTCGGGCCTCATGTATGCTGCCAAATACCCTACCACTGAGCCACATACCTAGTCCGGACATCAAAAACATCTGTTTAAGATTCCATCATATGGGCCAGGCATGGTGGCACCCAACTGTAATTCTAGCACTCCAGAGGCTGAGGCAGGAGGTGCTGTGAGTTGGAGGCCAGCCTGAACTGCACAGTGAGACCATGTCTCAAAAAAAAAATTTCATCATATGCACGTGCCATGATAAAACCACTACCCTACTAGTAGGCATTTAGGTTCATAACTTTTCACTACTATAAATAATTGTAAAATAAACACTGGAATATGCAAACCTTTGAATTTCCAAACTTAAAGAACTTGTTTAGAAAACACTTAAAATATCAACAAAATAGGTAAGATTCAGTAATGCTGCTTGATCTAGATTTAAATAAAACAAATACGTATGAAATAAAATTGTACAGCACAATTCAACTGGAAGAATTATTTAGCAAACCCAATCAGCAAGTCTCCTTACTGAATCAGTTTCTCTTTCCTCCTGGAAATCTTCTACAATGTTATCAATACTTGATACCTGAGAGGAATACCTATCACTAACTTATATTGTGTGAAAATATCCAGCAGAAACTAAAACTGTGAAGTTTTAAAGGGCGTATAAAATCAAAAATTTATTTTCATAAACTTCAAAAGTACTTCATACCAGACTGCCATAAACAATTTACTAACACAAATTAATATAATAAATTGCTGTGAGGACATAGGTGGCTGCACATATATATATATACCCAGAACACAGTTACAATGGCTTTTCTAACAGTAAAAGAGAAACAGAAATGGATATGGGATATAGTAAAGAGAACAGAAATGGATATGGGAAGCATAAAAAGTAGGGCTAAACTAAGCATGGTGGGGCAAATCCTTACTCCAGGGGCAAATCCTTACTCCAGAGGCTAATGCTAGAGGACACCAAGTTCAAAGACAGCCTGGGAAATTTATTTAGCAAAACCTTGTCTCAAAATAAGAATCCAAAGTGGGCATGGTGGCACAAGCCTTAATCCCATCTCTCTGAGAGGTTCAAGCCCAGCCTGGGCAATGTAGTGACTTAGCAAGACCCTGTCTCAAGATTTAAGAAATTTAAAAAGCTAGAGAAAGCCAGTAAAATCAATGGATCAATCAATCAAGTAGGGCTTAAGCCTGGCATAGTGACACATGCCTATTCTTTGTTCCTATTATCATAGTGCTTTTAAAAGTGTTTGTCCTTAGGTTTGATTAAATTTAGACTTGAGGGGCTGGAAGTGTAGCTCAGTGGTAGAGCACTTGCTTAGCATGAAAGAGGCCTGAGCTTTGATTCCCAGGACAGTAAAAACAGCAACAATTTTTGGGCCAGGAATGTAGCTCAGTGGTACAGCACCTGCCTGGTAAGCATGAGGCCCTGAGTTCAATTCCCAGTACCAAAAAAAAAAAAAACCCATAAAGACCAATAATAATTTTTAAAAATATAAAACCTCCAGGGCCGGGAATTTAGCTCAGTGGTTCCACTGGCTGCCTCCCAATCCCAAGGTCCCGAGTTTGATCCCTGTACCCAAAAAATATATATATATAAAACCTCCAGACATGATGGTGAGTTCAAGGCCAATCTGAACTACATAGCAAGACCCTGTCTCAACAAACCACGGCCAGGGATTTAGCTCAGTGGTTCCACTGCCTGCCTTGCAAGGGGAAGGACCCAAGTTTAATCCCCGGTACTAAAAAAAAAAAACAAAAAAAACCAAACTGACCAAACAAACAAACAAAGAAAGCAAAGCCAGGGCCAAGGATTTAGCTCAGTGGTTGCACCGCTTGCCTCCCAAGCCCAAGGACCTGAGTTCCATCCCTGGTACCAAAAACAAAAACAAAACAAATTCTCTCCTGAGACTCATCTATATTTATACCAAGTATCAGAGATATGATATTCTCACTACAGTATATTTCTATATCCTAAAGAGTCTAATTTAATTTCCAAGTATATATGTTATCCTTTTCCCTTTGAGGCATTCTTTAGGATCATTAAATCCTAATGCATGCTGATTCTAAAAGGTGTATTATTCACCAAAAAACATACTTCTAGGCTGGGCATGGTAGTACATGTCTATAATCCCAACCCTCTGGGAGGCTGAGACAGGAGGGTCAAAAGTTTAAGACCAGGGCCGGGGATTTAGCTCAGTGGTTCCACTGCCTGTCTTCCAAGCGCAAGGACCTGAGTACCAAAAAAAAAAAAAAGTTCAAGACCAGGGTCCGGGGATGTAGCTCAGTGGTACAACTCCTGCCTGGCAACTGTGAGGCCCTGACTTTGATTCCCAATACCCCCCCCAAAAATTCAAGCCCAGCCCCAGCAACTTAGCAACTTAACAAGACCCTGTCTCAAAATTTTAAAAAGGGCTGAGAATCCAGTTCAGTACCAAGGCCTAGGGTCCAATACTTAGCACCAAATGTAAAAAGAAAAAGAAAAAAAAACAAAAACCCACATTTCCAATCATTCTATTAGGAAACACTGAGTCTACTGAAAACTTGTTTATTATTACCAACAATTCAAATATTTGAACAAATGTTTCCCTTGATTTTATTAAGTGGCCCATTCGAATTTATTCCTGTCTAAAAGTACTTTAAAAACAACAAAGTATCATAATAATGGTTAACAGAACGTACTCTGGCTGGAGGTATAATACTCAGGGTGTAGAGCACTTGCCTAGCATGTACAAGGCCCTGGGTTCAATCCCCAGCATTAGAGGGCAGGTACTTCTTTGCTAGTAATGGTCAAATTTCTCCTTTTGCACTAAATAGTGTAATATTTAAGCTTAAAAATCTTATCATTCAAATGTGAGTACAATTGATTCAAAGAGACTACTCAAATCCTATTGTTCAGAAATCTACCTCTGTTGAATAATTTACATTTGAAAACACTTTATAAGTAGAGATTTTTACTATTTTTTCTTTTTAAGATTTTTACTGTTGTGCCAGATGTTGGAAAAAGATCTGAAGTGAAAACAAAGCAATTTAGCAAGCAAACAAGCTCCACATAACTAAAAACAATGTATTAGTAGTAATATAGAGTAGAAAAGGCTGTACACAAATGTATTTTCTACCCACAATGGCAAATTTTTTAAAATTAATTTTATTGGTACACTTTTGACATACATAATAATCACATTCACCATAGGGAATCTGTACCTGTACATAATATATCTTAATTCCTTTTTCCCCATATCTCTCCCTTTCTTTCAATTCTTCTTCCTCTCTACAAAATTTTGTTTCTATTGTTTTCCTTTTATTCTTTTTTATTTTTTAAATCCCTATGCTCGTCCTTTTCCTTTTTTTTCTCTCTTTCTCAGTTCCCTTCCAATTTGAAAATTTTCTTCCTACTTCCCAGTATCTACCCTCCATTTTGGTTCTTACTTAGCCTTTGGGTTTCTCACTCAAGAGAAACAATGGGATATTTAAACATATGTGTCTACTTGAAATTATGTTCTTTTTTGGGGGGCGGGGGGGACCAGGGATCGAACTCAGGACCTTGTGCTTGCAAGGCAGGCAGCGGAACCACTGAGCATTAAATCCCCGGCCTGAAATTATGTTCTTAAGGTGCAATGATGGTAAATTTTTTCAACATAAACCTACATAGAGACAGTAATCGGACTTCTACACTAAAAGAAGGATGGCAAATACTTCAGTCATTATGATTTAATCCACTGTGGAATTTCAATTACAATGTACTTTTTAGTGACCATCAGATGAAAATCCTCCAGTAACTAAGTCTCAGAAAAACAGGACAGAAGGAATACAGATCAGTTCTCCCCAGGACTGCGCTACTTCTCTTACCAGATTGATCAGCCTTCTCATCGCATGTTCATGAGAGCAAACACATTCGCAGGGATCGAATCCTCCTTCTGCCATGATTGCCCAGCTTAATTTTACTTGACTGCTCAAATCTACGAGGAAGGAAAAAATAGTATAAGACCCCTATTCAGTTACTCTTTCTCTTGGGCTATGAAAAATTCATATATTGTATAGATTCTTAACAGTTCTCTTAGCTATGTATTTTCATATTTATTAATGACCTATACAGTACCCATGAATTTATCCATCTGCTATGAAATATGAATTTATCAAATGAATTAAGAATCTATAAATGGCTACCCCTTCTGCTATCAGATCAATTTCCTATAAATGCAAATGGCTTCAGATGATATGAACTGGTCCCACTTATGATGAAGATCCCTAAGAGACTGGGAAAACTAATGAAGTAAGCGCCGTGACTGAACCAGTTTACTGACCAGAGCAACTTTTAGGCCAAAGTGCAAGGAGAATGGTGTGAGGTGAGAACAGAGAGGTCAGAAGCCAGGGCCACATAAGGTCTCCACACTGAGCTGTATTACCAGCCCCACTTTAAGAGAACAGGGTTCTCACTGTTGCTAAGCTGTATTACCAGCCCCACTTTAAGAGAACAGGGTTCTCACTGTTGCTAAATTGTCGAAGGTGGGCTTGAACTTGTGACCCTCCTGCTTCAGTCTCCAGAGTGCTAGAATTACATGTATGCGTCACTACACCCAACTCACACACACAGGGTCTTTCAGATTATGTTGAACCTAGATCTAGCCCAGTTTGGGCAACTTATGAGACCTTGTTTTTTTGGATACTGGGGACCTGTGTGCTTGCTAGGCAGGTGTGGTGTCAGTGAGCTACATCCAGAGACCTTGTTTTTGTTTTTGTTTTTTTCTTTAAAGAGGGGAGGCTAAGGATGTAGCTTAGAGTGAAGGTCTTGGATTTAATTCCCTGTACTACCAAAAAAAAAAGTGTTTACCATTGTGGTTCAAACGAAATAAATGATACTATGAGTATATGAAATCCTACACACCTGCTAGAAATAATTAGGGAATTACCTACAATATACTGAGGTGAAATCAAGTAGCCAAACAGGGCAAATACATCTTCCATCCAATATCTTCCCATCAAGAGGGAAGGGGAACCTGGGCATGGTGGCACACTCCTGTAATCACAGCACTTGGGAGACTAAGGCAGCAGGACTACTTCGAGTTCGAGGCCAGTCTGGCTACCCAGTGAGTTCAAGGCCAGCCTGAACTACATAGTGAGACCCTTTCTCAAAAAACAAACAAACAGGGGCCGGGGATTTAGCTCAGTGCTTATGCCGCCTGCCTCACAAATGCAAGGACCCAAGTTCGATCCCTGGTACAAAAAAAAAAAAAAAATTATGAGAGGGAAAGGAAGCAAAAGGAAGGAGAGAAATGGAAGGAAGGGCAATGGAGTGGTGGCCTCAGCCAGAAGGCCTAACCCCCAGCAGCTACGTACAAATGCTGACGAGCTCACATTCTTGTCTGAAGCCACTCTGTGTCCTTGTGTTTTCTGTTTAATGGATGAGCCTTTCTGTTGGTGAACTGAGTATACATATCTAACAGGGAAAACCCTGAAAGTAGATATGAGCTACTTTAAAGGTAGAGAAAATTCACCCTGTTTCTCAGCAAAGCTGAGACTTGCTGGTGTGGACATAATCAAGCACCCAATAACAACACTGGTCCATCATCCTCCCTACTGTATCCCACTGGGCCAATGAAGTGTTGGTTAAAGCTAAAAGATTTTACCAAGATTTAAAAAAACAAATGCAAATCCCCAAATGCTCAATACTTATCCACTTTTGTGGTCTCTGAACAAGAAAATGTGAGACTTGTTTTTTAAAAACACAGCTGTTTTCAAGTCTTTTTTTTTTTGATACCGGGGATCGAACTCGACCTTGTGCTTGCAAGGCAGGCGCCAGAACCACTGAGCTAAATCCCCGGCCCTCCAAGTCTTTTTAAACTCTATTTGATTAAGAAAATGAGATTTCACCTCCTCTCCCCAAAACACAGCTTCTTAAGAGCAGAAACCTGTCTTGGTCATTCATCTCCAAACACCTCCCTCACTGCTTTGGCCCTGGCGCTCACTGAGTAAATATTTACTGAATCCATGACAATGTTTATCGGCTCTGTATCTATATATGCTGGAACATGTAAATGAACTAGAATTTTAAATTATACTCCAGTCTTGATTAGCCTCTAGTAAATGAGGCTATGCTTCTGTGGAACTTTCCTTGTGTAAACTTGAGCTCTTTTTAAGTACTACTCAGTTCTTAGTTAACAGTTTCCATTTTAAAATCACTTTAAACAGTAACAGAATGGACCCTGTCAGAGCCTACGAGCAAGTGTTCAATACACACCAGCAGCTAAAGCACCGAGCAAAAACAACCTTCGCCCCATTCGGCCCCACATGTAACGACCGCTCCAGGGGGCAGCAGGAAGCTTCTCATCCTAACAAGACAGAATGGGGTCACTGAATCACAACTCTGGCAAATCCACTTCAAAGAAGCCTTCAACAGAAAATAATTTAAAACAACACTTTCGCCTTTCCTGTTTCATAGAGTTGCTCACTTCCTCTATATTCCTAATTTTAGAGAACAGTGCTAACATCAAAGTTATGGGCTTGACCTTTGAAGACAACAAGCTTTATTACTTGTTTCTTTCCTTTTTGGGGGGGGGGGGTGCCGGGGATCGAACTCGGGTCCTTGAGCTTGCAAGGCAGCCTGCAGAACCACTGAGCTAAATCCTGGGCTCCTACTACTTGTTTCTTAAAAATGCACAACAGGAGTTAGGCTTGGTGGCACATGGCTGTACCAGCACTAGGAAGAGGCTGAGGCAGGAGGATTACAGCAAGTTCAAGGCCAGTCTGCACTACAAAGCAAGACCCTATCTTAAAACACAAAAGCACAATAGGTCACCAAAGTCCTAAGTAATGAAACCTAAAAAAGCTCAAAATTAAAAATAATTTAGAGGAGGCACCGGGGATTTAGCTCAGTGGTTCCGCTGCCTGCCTCGAAAGCTCAAGGACCTGAGTTTGATCCCCGGTACCAAAATTAAAAAAATAAAAATAAAAATAATAATAATAATTTAGAGGGGCTAGCGATGTGGAGATGTAGCTAAGTGGTACAGCACTTGCCTAGCATTCATGAGGCCCTGGGTTTGATCACCCAGCACCACAAAATAGCGATCAACATCATAGGGGGACTGAGGGAAGTAGATGTAGGCTTAGAATAAATGAAACTGGCCCTGAGTTGACAATGAAGTTGGGTGACAAGGACTAAAGAGTTCTTATACTTCTCAACGTTTTTGTATTTCTAAATTTTCTGTAACATTTATGTGAGCATTTTACTCAATATTTCTAACAGCAATCTGACTTTAGGTATATTAACATCATTTGGAGTGACTTTTTATGGAGCATTAATCTAAAGATCTCAAAGCCATCCATGCCTAAACAAGTTGTAGCAAAGAAAAGCAGTGAAATAATGTACTCTGCACACCGAGAAGGAAAAAAGCAATTCCCCTTATTCTGCAGATCCAGCTCATCTTCTCCCTCCTCTACAACTAACACAGCCTTTCCTGGTAGAGTTTGGCAGTAATAAATCAGTTGAGTCCCCCTGTTTCTTTATGTGGTAAGGGAATTTTTCAAAGCTCTTAACCAATTTATCATCAGCTATTAGAGCCCTAAATATTCTATTTTAGCCATGCACACCTGAAATCTCAGCACTCTGGGATACTAAAGGAGGAGGAGGATTGCTTGTTTCAATCCAGCATGGGCAATTTAGCAAGTCCTTGTCTCACAGTAAAATGAGCTGAAGAGGTAGTTCAGTACAAAGTCCCTGTGTTCAATCCCCAGCACAGCAAAAACCATCACCAGCACCACAACAAAAAAACTCCAGCTCATGCTTGGTGTTTTTACACTAGATAAATTTCACCTTTGGGAAGTCAGATTTAATTGCCTGCTTACAACTCTAGAAAAGGTTAAAAAAGAGATACTGTAATTCTACTACAGTGTGCTTTTTATAGAGTTGTAGAATTCTGCTTATAGATAATATTGGTTTCCTTAAAAGTAGCTCAAGGGGCTGGGGATTTAGCTCAGTGGTTCCAGTGCCTGCCTCGAAAGTGCGAGGACCCTAGTTCCATCCCCAGTACCAAAAAAAAAAAAAAAGTAGGGCCGGGGATTTAGCTCAGTGGTTTCGCCGCCTGCTGCACAAGTGCAAGGACCCGAGTTCAATCCCCGGTACCAAAAAAAAAAAAAAACAGTAGCTCACAATTAGGCCAAACAGTAGCAAATGGTGACAACAGTTATCATATAGGACCTTGCGCTTGCACTTGCGAGGCAGGCTCTGGAACCACTGAGCTAAATCCCCGGCTTTTTTTTTGAGACAGTGTCTGGCTATGTACCCCAGGCTGGCCTTGAATTCAGTGACTCTCCTGCCACACCCAGCTTTACTTCATTCTTTTTAATTGCTATATAATACCATAAAACATGAGTAAATACTTTTAGCATTCCTTTATTACAGACTAAGTAATCCAGCATTTCCAATTTTTTTTTTTTTTTTGGTACCAGGGATCGAACTCGGGTCCTTATGCTTGCAGGGGAGGAGGCAGTACCACTGAGCTAAATCCCCAGCCCATCATTTCCAATTTTAAAATTAATATTGTAACAACCCTCTTTGGGCCTGGATTTTTGTAGAACAGTACTAAAAATGAAATCTCTAGGCTTAAGGACATACATAAAAAGGCTTTCTCTGTTAGGAGAGAGGGGGAGAGAAAGAGGAAGAAACAAGTCTTCCAGGGACAAATCTTCCTAAAATAATTCCAAATAACAAAAGTAGATTCCCCTACCACCCAAGTAAGGCTTAACCTCCTCTTCTTCCCCTGAGTGTCGCCTGGACTTAGTGCCTCAATTCTAAGTAACAGCACACAGAAAGGAAAAGTAATTTCACAATAGAGAAATGAGCAAGCAGAACCTACATGGTAGACCTGTCTCAAAAAATTAAAGAAAACCTTAAAAAACAAAACAAAACCAACAACTCAAATACTAGTATATAGGAAGCGTCAGTGTATTTACCAAAAGAACA